TCAGAAACCGCCAGGCTTTGAACTGACCCGCAATACATGGACAACGCTAAACAGAATAAGAACAAGCAGCGGTAGATGTGCTGACAACTTATATAGATGGGGAAAAGCCCTTACTCCTGAGTGTGACTGTGGTGCGCAACGACAGACCGTCCGTCACATTGTTGAAGAATGTCCCCGAAGGCGATTCCGTGGAGTTTTCGATGAGTTCCTGAATGCGACCGAAAATGTTTTACATTATATTAATAATACATTAAATGTTCGTTTGTAATACTTCATGTAACGTTTTTATATTGATTTTTTTAATTGTGTGTTCTTATTGTATGCCATACGATAAATAAACAAATAAATACAAGCCAAATTAGTGCAATGTAAATATTTTACATTTTTACACAGCAATTCTTATCGGCAGTGAAGACGGGAAGTCGTAAATTTTTATTACATCTTTCAATGTGAGATGAAATAAAAATGCGATGACTAACTGGAATGTTTAGGATTAGAGAAACATAATATGTCATGTTTATTGGAAATACTTAACATCATTAGCACGTGCAAATCCTACCCTGTCGCCATCTTTCCTATGAAATTAAAATGGTGCATGTTTTTAAGATCCATTTATTTTTCGGCCATACACATTAACGAGGTCCACGAGGTTTTGAAACATTTCTACCAATCATAGAAATCAGCTGGATGTCATTTTTACCTACTGTACCAAAGCTTGTGATAAGATTGATCACTCTATACTTATTGAAAAGCTAAACAAATTTGATTTTTATTCAGAAGCATGTATGTTTATGAGGTCATATCTTTCTGATAGGTTAAATCAAGTTCAAGTGGGGAACAGTTTATCTAAGCCATTTATGTCGACATCAGGTGTACCACAAGGTAGCAACTTGGGTCCTCTTCTGTTCGCTAAATTTATTAACGATTTGCCTCACTGTGTAAAGTTTTCGACAAGCCTTCTATTTACAGATGATTTTAAGATTTTTCGAGAAATTTCAACTCTGCAGGGCTCTGAGATGCTGCAATGTGATATGATCTCATTAAGTCAAAAGTTCGATGATAACAAAATGTTTATAAACTCTTCGAAATGTCATGTTTTTACTATCACTCGAAAAACACAATACATGGAGAACCAATACAAAATTTCTTGCACTGTACTTGAAAGAAAGAACACTTGCAAATATCTTGGAGTTTGAGCAAAATTTGAGATTTAATGAACATTATCGGATCATCACTGGAAACGCATACAGAACTCTTGACTTCATAATACGTGATTCAAAATTGTTTAAAACATTTGAAACTCTAATATCATTATACAATTGGTAAGACCTCACTTGGAGTATGCCTCTATTATATGGGCACTGCAAGTCGAATTCAATGTTGATCTGATTAAAAAGGTTCAAAAACAATTCTTGAGGTTTCTTTATGTCAGAAAGCTTGGTATCTATTCATACATGATTTCCTATGTTATGTTAACTTGTCTTAAAGTTCAGCGACTGGATAATAGAAAAAAAAATTATTCAGTCCTTTTTATTTACTGTGTTATAAATCACATTAAATATAAAGATTGTTTAACTAATAAGACTGTTTTTCACCCATAAATAAGATGTTAGAAGAATGTAACCATGTGATATAGACTTTTAAATTCTTCTGTGAAACAAATAAAAGTTGCTTTTGAAACAAATTTCTAGTCTGCAAAAGTTATTGTCTTAAAATTTAGTTTAGATGTATGGGTATTGTTCATATAAATGTACAATATGCGGTTTTTTATTTTATTTCGAATTCTGTTTTAGATATTTTTGTAAATCCAAAACTATTGAAAAGAACGGAGTTGTTTCGAGAAGCATTTTTTTTTGGTTTGGCTGCAAAAGTGTTACAAATATTTTTTATTTATCGTCAAACCTTGAAATTGTCACTTCGGTAACTGTCCTACAGTCACAATTTGTAGTTTAAACCCAAATATATGTAACACTTTTTGACGTATATACCTTTTAGAGTCATTTTTATAGAAAATAAATATTTAACTTTTTAGTTAAATATATAAAAAAAATTAGTTCTTACCAATAAAAATATTGTAGATTAGAAAGTTATGTCCCAGACCTCTCGCATCATTTCGGTAACACAACTTTTATGCGAAGAAATCGACAATACCGACTTAACTTGTTGTTTATTTCTTTCGAGTTCCATGTTCGCGCGTAGCGTATGTATGAGTTAGTGGCAGTGGTTTTTATGTAATATGGTAATTTTTTTTTTAATAAATTAATGAATGACTGATTTTTTCGGCGTATACTTATTATTGACCATTTCGGTAACTACTTTTTCATCGAAGTTTTTGCCTCAGATAAACAATATAATGTATTTTTCTTTTTAAAAAATAGGACATGTTTAATAACCTCAAAAATTATAATAATCTAAGTTACTCCTAGAGGGAGCTAAATTACGAAATGTAAGATTTCGTCATTTCGGTAACGTCATTTCGGCAACATTTTTAAAAGTAATATTGTGTTACCGAAATGATATTTTGTTACAGAAATGATTAGTTTCTTTTTATTTATAGATAGACAGTGAAAAATTAAAATATTTAAAAGAAAAATTAACACAAGATAGAAAAAATTCCTACGAATTAAATTTAAAAAATAAAGAAGAAAAAAAAAATAAAAGTAAAACTTTTTTAAATCCTAAAAAGTCTGAACTTTTTGAAGAAGATAGGATGACTAAGCCTTCAACTTCAAATGGATATTCTTCGGCCCAAACTAGCATCTCCAAGCCGAAAATTCAAGTAAATTTCAAGTTCGAACAGAATAAAAGTAATGTCGAGCCGAAAAAAACATTGAAACTTGAACTGAAAAAAAAAGTAAATAATATCCAAGACAATAATAATGATAAAACAACGCAAGCAAAAATAAAAAAAGAGTACTTGCAGAATAATAGAACACCAACGAAAATAAAAATTAAAAAGAGGAAATGTAACGAAAAGATGAAAGAAGAAGTAAGAAAAAGAGTTCAGAAACATAGAATGAAATTAACAGAGCAGCAACTTAAAGAAAAAAGAAGAAAAGATCGAGAGCGATACAAAAAAAGAAAGAAGAAGGACAAAGTAAGTTTATAAAAGACTTGACACCACGACAGCAAAGAATAAAAAGAAAGGAATTGAGTAAAAACAGCAAAAGATATAGAGAGAAGAAAAAAATGAAAGGTGAAACCGAAAGATTTGCTAGAGATAATTCACCCGCAACAAGTGAAGATGAAATTACAATTGAAAATCAGGACGACCTTTTTCATGAGGATCTTGCGGAAAATTTAGATGTTATGGATGTTGTCAAAAAGAAAAACACACCTTCAAGGCAAAAAATGTTGGCCGACAAATAGTGAAAAAAGAAAAATCTTCATGTTATAGAAAATTAAAAAAGGCAGAATTAAAAATTAGAGACCTAACCAAACAGTTAGCAAGAGATCGAAAAAGGTTACAAAGGGAGAAATCTAAATTTAAACAATTTTTAAAACAAAAAAAAAGAAAAATAATCTCCTGAAACAAGGGTGAGTAAATTGATAGCTGATATCGAAGTTCCAGATAAAATCAAAAGAAAGTTAGTTTTTGGGGAAGTTATTAAAGATCAATTAGAAGAAAACGCATTTAGAAAATAAAACTAAAACACAATAGTTATCTAATTCCCTATTTACGTTTACGTTCCTTGTTTTGTTGTTCTTTTTTCATTTTTATGGCAATAAATACATAGCTATAAATGTGCGTTTTCTTTAAAATAGTATAAAAGTTATCATTTCGGAAACGTTGAGTCATTTCGGTAACGCCTGCAAAATAATTTTTTTAACATAATTTTTTTAACTAAAACCAGAAAAAACATTATAGTTGTTAATTATAAATAAACTATAAGCTAACAAGTTGAAAAAACACTACCATTAATTTCATTAGAGCAATTTAGAATAAAATAAAGTCAAATATATTGTACATTTAAAAAAAAATAACTATTGCAACATAAGAAAAACAGTTTTAAACTTTAGCTACCACCTAAGATGACTTGTAGTAAAATACTATCATTTTAGGTTAGTTTCTAAAAAAATACAAAATTTAAAAATGTATTTAGTCCTACTTATAGGGTGTTACCGAAATGACTATTTTTTTGCTGTTTCACACCAAAAAGAACGATAAAAAAATATCTATTACTAATTAAGCTCTGCTTTCATAAAATCATAAATCTTAGAGTATGTAAGAACTCAAAACAATAAAAAACATAACTTAATTACGAACTTTATTTTTTTAGTATTATAAAAGTCAAATTAACCATTTATATGAACAGTAACCGTATAGTGATTTTACTTGTTTTATTCTGTCTAGGTTTAGTTTTTATTATAGTTATTAGTTTTTAGCAGTAGTAAGAAATGTAATAACAATCATTTTGTGTTTTAGAGGAGGTTAAATATATAAAAAAAGTAATAAATTACACAGTAAAATTTTTATATTTTTTTTAACCCACAACTTTCTCACAATATAACATCAACCGTATTTTAAAACGTAAAAAATATGTTATTGTACTGGTGGCAGCATATTGCCTAAGTTCAGAGAAGAAATTCTGCAATGATCTGGATCCCTTTTACTATCTTTTATTTCGTCTTTATAGAGGGGAGTCTAGAATCTTCAAAAGACATCTTAGTCCAGGACTCCCCCTGACTGACATTAGTATAAAATTCGTTCTTCGTAGTCCCGTAAAGAGTTACCGAGGTACTTTAAAACGTCCTCTCGTCGTCGAGTCTCTAAACATCCTCTTGTCTCTCTGCAAGGGGGCTCCCTGTCACTTTTTCCTATTTCCCCTCTTTTGATCCAAAAGGTGGTTTTTTTTCTCCACCGCTCCGTCTATAGCCCACGATAAAAAACAATGCTTCCAAAAGTAGCATAAAGTTACATTGTAAGCAATTTTAAAAGTATCATAACTTTATACTAAACGAAAAGATATACAAATAATTATGGTTTTGAAATGACTTACCCTCCGTGATCTACGTTGAGTATTCTTTTCCATTGTTCGTGAGCTGTAAATTGAATTGCGGCGTGGGGTATTATTCGAGCCATGGTAGCGCTGTTCCCCCTCCATAATGCGACCACTCCTTCTGTCCGTAGGGTTTTTAAAATAAATTTAAAAGCTTTTCGCGTTGAGTAAGGTTTATGTCTGAAAATTAAAAAAAAAATCGAATTACTTTTAGACAATTTTAAATACAAAAGTCCTTATCGCCTGTTTTTTTACTGAATATTATATTATATACATGGAATAAACCACAAATTATGAATGTTTAAAATTAGTCGATGTTTCTTTGGCACAAATTATAATTCTCAAATCAATACTCGAATATTTCGCTTACTGCAGTTTTATTTGAATAATGACTTACATTTGCAGAACGATCTGAATCAGGTGGTTCGAAATGATGGCCCGCGAAAGAAATTAAAAAAGCAAAGAAATATATATTTTTAAAGCTTGTAGCATGTTAAAAAATTTTTTTTAACTATGAAATATTTATGTATAAAACTTTCTAAAGACGTCCCTGGTCAGAGTAGTTCCGTTTAAATGTTAGATATACAGAGTGGCCCAAAAGTCTGGAAATGGCTAATTATCTCGTAAATTACTAGACATAATTATACAAAATTTGAGATACGCCTATTTTGGGATACGGAGATTCCATATTTGGTATTTGCAATGCTGCCAGATTTTCAGTTTCTCTTATATTACTAAGATATGGTTGAACTCGTATTTAATAGGAGATTCCAATAATGACTATACAGGGTGATGTATTTGAAAAACCAAAGTTACTAAGAATATAAGAAAAACGGTAAATCTGACAACATTGTAAATATCAAATATGGAATATCCGTATCCCAAAATAGGTGTACCTCAAATTTTGTACAATTATGATTAGCATTTTACGAGATAATTAGCCGTTTCCAGACTTTTTATCCACTCTGTATTGTGTTTTGAGTTCTACGATCCTAAAATCAAGTTGAAAGATATCTCAAGGTCGTTTTACGAGCTGAAGTTAAGGAATTTAGCTGATTCGATGGTATGCAAGAGGACATGCGGTGGGAGGGGGCAGGATAGGAACCGAGAAGCCGATATACAACATCGAAGGTCGGGGAAATTCAAGTCAAGTTTGAAATAGAAGCGGTGAGTGTCTCAGTGGAGTTAAAAAAAATACCGGCAAAAACTAGTTGAATGTAGTGAAATTTATTCTCTGTGATATGCCAGATTAAGAAAGAGTAATCACTACACATTTTGCAAGGTATCCAAGAGATGTGTGTCGTGTAGCAAGCTATGAAGAAGGTTCCAGATTTGTAAAATCGTTTTTTTTTGTTTTAACCTCACATTTTTCTATGGTCATCTTTCCCGACCTTGAAGCAGTCCTTTTGTTCGTGTGGCAGAGAGTTCAACCCCAGTTCTACCCCAGAAATTGTAGCAGAAATCCCAGTTATAATCCCATAATCCTTTCATAACAATTTAAAATTTTAATAATAAATTTGGTAAATCTTAGGGCGTGGTCTTAGCTGTCATTTTATTTGTTCAGTTTTAAAATTTAATGTCGACATGTGATAGCTAGTTTTATTATTATTTTTTTGACATTAAGTTTTGGATTTGTAAAGAAGGCATAAATACATAGTTTTATTTAAAAAAAATATCTTTAATTTTAGTAATTTATTTCTGTCACAGTTATAACTTAATAACAATTTTGAAAGTCTTTGTAGCTTTTTTTATTATTTATTTTGGTATAAACCCATGTAATTATATATATTGTAATTACTTTTGATTCTCTGTATATGTAACTGTTTGTTTGAGACAAAAAATAAGTGTTAAATTAATTTCCCTAATTATTTGGTTTATTTTAATTTAGAAAAATCTCCTAACCCTTTTGTGTTTTCTTTATTTTAGGGAAGAAGAGCCTTGTTTCCTAAATTTTTCTTAAATAGCTAGAGGTCTTTTCTTGTTGTTTTGTTTGCCCTTTTGTTCCAGGAAATTTATGTAAGTAGCCTCTTTTGTTTCATTTTTGTAGTTCCCCCAATCCAACCCCATTGCCATTCACTTATCCACGACCCCAGCTCTCCAATTAAGCCGTGAGTGCCGTCCGCACAAGTATCGTTTTATTTTGCTTGCCCTATCTCCACCCCCAGTAACTTCTGTCTCCACTTTAATTTACCATAATTTACCATGCTTCTTTCTTCTTTTTATCGCCTTTAAAATGATTTATTAATTTCAACTACCTAACTTAAATTTTGCCTTACCCTGGTATACCAAATTTATTTTACATCACAGTCACTCATTGTTTTACATTCTCCCACCTTTTTAAAATACCAAAAATTGCTATTGATCCTACTACACACAAATTACAATTCTTCACTAAAAACGGCCTATTCACAAACTTAAGCACAATGACTTTTGCTCCTACTACATCATTCCACATTAACGGGTACTAACTGATTTTTCATACCATCTTTCTATCAGTTAGCCCTAGACTTACACAAGGTAATGAAGTCGATAAAACCTCACCAGCTACATGGGGTCATGTAAGATGCCCCCATTTTCAGTTTTTATTATTCAAAAGTCTATTGCATTTACCTTTATAAATACCATGAGGATTGTTTTTTAATACGGATATCCTTTCAATGTTTTTATGTGGCCATACAATGTTTTTTGACAACTTTTTACGTAAGTAGTAAAAAACCAACGTGTTCTTTTTATATATTTAAATATTAACTTACTTGTTTTTTAATATTGGTATTTTTACTCTCTCTTTTAGTAAACTGATGATGGAATGACTCAATTCCGAAAAGATCTTCTTTAAAATAAAATTTTTAAGCTTTTAATAAGCATTGTTTTATACCTTAATACACACGAACACCACGTGCTTTGTATTCAACAGGTATACTAGCCACTCCTGGATATCTCCACTTCATGGTTTGTTCCAGTTTCACTTTTAATTCTTTTAATAAACTATCGAAATATATAATAAATATCTATTATCATAGACATGCCATGCATATCGCCGTGCATTATTTATTCGGTAAATTTAAATAATTTGATTATAAAGTGTTTACATCGTAATTTTATTATTGTTTTGTTTCAGATGTTTGTGTTATTTTTACATGATAATGAGTTGCCTATAGATATTTACATTCATTGGATATTTTGCATTATTTATTTTGAGTGCAGATAGATAAGAAAGAAATGAAGGAGTATGTTGTTTTAACAAATTTGGACTTAGGCCAATAGAAAATCTTACGAAATCATGTTAGAAAATAAACTTTGGTCAATATTTACGAAGCAATTTGTTAAACTTCGACAATTACATTTGGCATACAATTTGGTTTTTGGTACAAAAACCAAAGAAGTCATGTTTTTCACCGCTTGAAATTCTAAAAACAACTAAAATTGACGACAAAACTTTACATACAGGGTGATCAACTTTTGTGACAAAGGTTTTTATTTGCATCATTTGCTATCAACAAGTCCTCGTAGACACTTTGTCTCAGGACCAGCAACCTTCAGTGAAGTCTTACGTTGCCATGTTATCAATTCCAATTATAACTTAAATTCAAATTAACGGGTTTTTACCCAAATATTTAGTGGCTCAAAGCATGTACCGTTCCCGTTATAAAAAACTGATACAACTCGGATAAAGATGTCAATAGAGACATGGGGAATCTAAAAGCAAAAATTCTTAGCGAATTGGTTTCTTGTACTCATACAGAGTATATTAACATCTATTAACATCTTTATCAACGTCTGTTTTGCCTTGCAATTTTTAGAAGGAACAGATTAAAGCAGAAATCTGAATTGGTTTGGAAAACAGTTTACGGTTTAATTATCAGATGTCGCTAGTTGCGTCCATACGAAGCCATGTTAGAGTTGCTTCTTAAGACAGAAAAGATTTATTTTCACATTCAGAACGCCTGTGAATAGCTGTTCTGATGAGCCCTATTGGGGCTAAATACGTATAAGCAGATACACAGATGCACTGTAGGTGAAATCAAATATTGACTGTCTTTTTCAAATAAATATCCCTTTTCATTTTTGTGCCTATGTTTTGATGTCGTTCTTAATTTCTTATAAAAAATATCAATATTCAAATAGTGAATTAATTACTATTAAACTGGGAATAAGCCACAATTAAAGATAAAAATACGTTTATTGACGTTTCAATTTCCACTTCGGAAATCGTTCTCAAAATACAAACAGTAAATTAAACAAATTTTGTTTTTTGTTACATAGTGAAAAATTATTCTAATAATTTAATTTTATCTGACTCATTTATATTGACAATTCAGACATACATTATGCATTTTAAAGTAGACGACTTTAAAATGATATTGCCAATATTGTTGAGTTGCGCTCCTGGGACGACTTTACTTATAAGATAGTTCATTTGATTACATGAAATCAACTTTAACTTGAGAATATCCGTCAGAAAAAAATCATAGCATGTAATTCGTCTTTAAAAAGACAAACACATGACATGATGACAGTAAAATTCTCCTGTTAGTGATTCCATAGTAAATTATGAGGGAAAAAACCAGGAAAAAAAACCTCAAAATACTATCCCGACATTGTAAGTATTTGTTCGTGAATTTAGTTTACCTTCAAAAAAGATCAAAATTCTGATTTTATATGTTATGTTATTTAAAAAACATAAATGATGTATCCCCTATATGTTACTGACCTACTAATACTGGTATTTTCTTATTAATAACTTCCTCTTTCAATATTGGTAACCAGATCCTACTACATTCTGCCGAGGAATTTGCGACACAATTGGCTTCATTTAGCATAATTAGAGCCGCTTCTTTGATTTTTCTTTTTTTACCATCCGTTTCTTTTAGGACTACATTTGAATTATTCCATTGAACCCTATGTTCATTATCCCATGCGTGTTTACAGATTTGAGATCTATCAAATTCTCTATTTTTAATATAGGATTGATGTTCACTTATTCTAACATTTAATGGCCTTGATGATTCACCTAAATAAAACTGATCGCATTCACAAGGTATTTTATAAATGCAATTCTTTGTCCTTTCTTGTTCATTGTTAGGTTTGGTTTTGGACAGAATAGATCTCAACGTGTTTGTTGTTTTGAATGTTGTTGAAATGTTGAATTTATTCAACTCCAATTCAATCCTATTTGACTCCTATTCAACTCCTATTCAATTTACCCAAAAAAGACAAAATGCATGCTTACAACAGCAAATTTACTAAGATGTAAATTGGAGCTGGAAGGTCAGATAATAGAACAAGTGATGGAGTTTAAATATCTAGGCATCACATTATCTAGCTACGGAAAGCTCGAAACTGAAAATGAAGTTCAAAAGTATCAGACAAAGTAAGAATATTAAGAACTGTGTAAGAAATAGAAGAGTAGAATGGAACGATCATACAAGCCGAATGACAACAAATAGAGTAGTAAATACGGCAAGAGACGGTTCCCCAATAAGAAGACAATCAGTTGGAAGACCACGAAAATGATGAGATCAGTAGGAAGACCACGAAAACGATGAAACGGCCACTTACTGGAGGTACATTGAAAAACAGACAGAGTCATGTTTATATAAAAAAAAGAAGAAGTTTTAAAACTTAGTACACAATTTACATCCTAATATATGTAACATAAATGATAATAGTTAGATTCGAAACTAGAATCCGACTCATTTCCATTTATATTATTGTCGAATTTATTGGACGTCCCAGGTGCATAATCTGGATCATTCTCGCTTTTGGTTAAATACCATACAACCAGAAAATATAGACGCATGTGCGTCTATATTTTTTCCTACTACTAACAATAAATAATACTACTACTACTACAAACAATAATTACGATCAGTTATTGCTTATACCTAAGGTAACATTATTAAACTTACCCTTCATCCATTTCTCACAATATATTTACTTAAAATACCAAAAAGCATGAGAGTATTCCCAATGTCTGACAATAACAAATACCCTTTTTAATTAATTATTTGAAGTTATGTTACAGACATGCTTATATCATACTAGGCAAAAATTGTCCTAAATGATGCCGCTCAGTATAAAAAACTAGCTTAAATAGTCCTAACTGCATTTTTAAAGTCAAAACGGACAATTTTTCTTAGTATATGTGAGATAAGACAATTTATGTTAGTGAACATGGCTTTTTAGTCAGTTAGGACAAACCATTTAGGTACATAATAAGACACTTAGGACGCTTATAGGACAATTTCATTTTGTACATACATAGATAATATGTTTACGAATGCCGTGAGCCAATAAAGTCATTTTACCAAATTTTGCAGATAGGACCTTTCATGTTAGGACGGCAGTATAGGGGATACATCATTTATCTTTTTTAAATAACATAACATATAAAATCAGAATTTTGGTGTTTATTGAAGGTAAACTAAATGCACGAACAAATACTTACCATGTCGGGATAGTATTATGAGGTTTTTTTCCTGGTTTTTCCCTCATAATTTACTATGGAATCACTAACAGGAGAATTTTACTGTCATCATGTCATGTGTTTGTCTTTTTAAAGACGAATTACATGCTATGATTTTTTTCTGACGGATATTCTCAAGTTAAAGTTGATTTCATGTAATCGAATGAACTATCTTATAAGTAAAGTCGTCTCAGGAGCGCAACTCAACAATATTGGCAATATCATTTTAAAGTCGTCTACTTTAAAATGCATAATGTATGTCTGAATTGTCAATATAAATGAGTCAGATAAAATTAAATTATTAGAATAATTTTTCACTATGTAACAAAAAACAAAATTTGTTTAATTTACTATTTGTATTTTGAGAACGATTTCCGAAGTGGAAATTGAAACGTCAATAAACGTATTTTTATCTTTAATTGTGGCTTATTCCCAGTTTAATAGTAATTAATTCACAATGCCACAAGAAAATAGCTTCAGAACAATATTCAAATAGTGTTTTTGTTATAACTATAACCTGTTACTAGGCTAAAATTGGTAAGTATTATTAGCGGTTGGGTTCAGGGTGCGTCGAAAACAAAAATAGCAAAGTCCCAAGGGCGTCACAGTACGAATAATTTGGTGAGCCCTGCGTTAATTGTATAAAATACAAACTGGCTCTTTGACTTTGAGTTGGCATTCGCGAATGAATCAATTATGATGACAAAAACGATGACGATGAAAATTTAATAAACAACAATAGTGTTAAAAACTGTTAATTCTCATCATTTGCTAATGATCTAGGTCATAATAAATTTGATTGTATGCTAGACAAGGTTTATCAATTAGTAAATCACCTGTAATTTATTTAATGGAAATCCGTAGTAAAGTAAAATTGATTTAATTTAAGTGAATAACGACTATGGTCACCGCTGAAGTAGATACTAACGATGATGGTAAAACTGGATAACGAAGAAAACAAACACATGGATAAGACAGAAAAGCAAAGTCACCGATGTGGTGCAAAAATCATTAAAGTTGAAATGGTAGTACGCTGGACATGTAGCTAGGAGCGATCTAAACAAATGGCACAGATCAATTTTAACCTGGAGACCATACCAACACAAAAGGCCCAGAGGCAGACCTCCTATGAGATGGACAGATGATCTGAAAAGGACTGCCGGGAAAAATTGGCTACAAGTAGTGTACAATAAAAAACAATGGAAAGGAAGACTTGAAGAGGCTTATGTTCAGATGTGGACGTGAATGGCTAGACGAAGAAGAAGAAGTGAATACCGACTATGGTCACCACTGAAATAGATACTAACGATGATGTTCAACACGGATGTGTGTTATCTCATTGTATATATAGAAATAATACTTACCCTACTTGAAAATAAATTTTAGTCCTATCTAAGGGTGCGATTGTTGTTTTTGCCAAAGCACCAGCGATCGCACCCGCTGTAAAACTAGTTAAAACTAGGTGTGTGTTACTTAGATTATGATCACTATGACTTTTAATACTTTTGTCGGCAGATACCATATTGGAAGACCTGGACATCAAGGCAATTGTTATCTTATCTGTAAAGAAAAATATGCGTTAAATATACACGCTAATAATCATGCGTATGACTATTACAAATAATAGAATGTTTTTAGATAGCGATTAAAGTGTTTTTTAACTATCAATTAGTTTATTTGTCGTGGCCATAAATATTTTTCGATATAATCTACAAATCGAGAGATTGGAGTATATATACCGGGAATTTTACCACCACGGCCTGCTCCATAGGATACGATTTCATCAGTTGAGAATGCTAATATCCTCTCTCTGATTTGCAAAAGATCTCCTAAGTCACCCCAGCAGGCTCGGAAGAATGTCGAGTGTTTTCGATTGTTTAAATACCCATAGATCTAGTACAGTGTTACATGATGTAACAGATACAAGAACCAATTTGGTTTTTTGTGAAATTATACTTCTACCATCTAAGTTAACGAGCCCTAACAACTATATAATGAGACAAATTAAACTATATAACACATTTAGGCATTTGACTGTAAATTTACTCCTTTTTTTAATAGTTATGGTAATAAATGCTAAATGAGCAATATTTTAAATGGTATATAATCACAAAACGTAATTAATATTGTTTTATACAACACATATAACCTATTAATGTTATAAGGATAATCAAAATATGTAAAAATGAATGACAACTAAATAATGGGACAGTATGAAATAACTCGAAAAAACTACACAATATAAGACAATTATTAAAAAACTACACAAAATGGAAGATCATTGGGACGACTGAGGAAAAGATGGTCAGACAACGTCAATTGAGGCTAAAAACCGAAGTAAAACATGTATTAAGCCTATTTATAAACTAGGAAGAAGAAGAAGAATTAATAATATAATTATTAAATTGTTAAACAGTAAACATAAATTTTCAATTTCTAGCTAGTCAAATATTATGACTGTACCGGGTGGTCCAATAAGCCGATCTCTCGGCTATATATCAGAAAGTATTCATGTTATAACTTTAGGAGAAAAAATTCCTTAGTAAAAGTGGCCAAGAGAAATCGCTGGAAATAACTTTCAAGATTCTGGATTAACCGCTAGGGGGCGTAACCTGCGAAGAAAATTTTGAAAACCAGTTTTTTGGGAAATATGTCCAATTATACCAAGTGTTAATTAAGTAAACTAGAAAGAGGCATAAATTCTGCATAAAGTTATTCAAGTACTTTTTTTTATTTTTTCAAATAAAGGGTGGGGGAGAGTGGGAAAGTATTTGTGGATAAATACCTATAACTTTGGTTTGGTTCAACCGATTTTAACAAAATTAGTGCCATTAGAAAGAGTATGGATGAATTAACTTACATCTACTATAAAATATTTTCCATTTAGTTTTAATTGTCGTAGGTAGGGGGTACTTTCGAATAGAAAAAATTAAAATTTGTTTTTCTTCAAAATTTTTAATGGAAACACCTATTTATTGTAAATTATAATGGAACTGGATTAAATTCGTAACAAAATGGCGCAAACCGCATGTTAATAGCTTTTATCGAACTCGAGATATGAATAAAAACGCATAAACATATGTAAGTATAGTATTGACACACCCTGTATTATAAAATAAATTAAAAAATAAGTCAGTAGGTACTTTTAAAATTTTTTATAGCAGAAAACTCTTAATGTAGATACCTATTTTGACCATGGTTATTTCATATGATTAAAAATTGTTTTTTAGAAACTAAGTAGGCTACGACAATGACTTTGACAGGGAGTTCATATTGTTTATTTATTTACAGCAGTCAAAATATTGTTAAGAAGTGTTATATGTATTATAATTCGAATTGAAAATTCGAATATAATATTAAAAATTAATAGATATTAATATTGGTAATATTAGTAATTAATTATCAGTACTAATAATTCGTGATGAGTATATCAAATTGTATGATATAATTGGAGTTTATTTCGAATATCACCAAAATGGCGCTATTGCCTCACGTATATATTCTGTAAGATATCCTGGCAGGAGATATTGTGGCAAAGAAGTAGAGATTTCGGTCTACTTACATGAGGATTCTGTTGAATTAAAGCAAGAACATTGATTGAATTATCTTCGGTCATAACTCTACTACGTCGTTTAAAACAAAGACGAGAAAAAATACCAGTTTCTCTTAATCTTTTTGCCTTTCTTTCAAATACTTCTTTGCCATAATGTCTCCTGTAAGGATATCTTACAAAATATATACGTGAGGCAATAGCGGCATTTTGGTGACATGCAAAATAAACTCCAATCATATCATACAATTTGATATACTCATCACGAATTATTTGTACTGATAATTAATTACTAATATTACCAATATTAATATCTATTGAAAAAAGTGCAATCTTTCATTCGAACTATAATATAGCACTTCTTAACAATGTTTTGACTGCTGTCAATAAATAAACAATATGAACTCCCCGTCAAATTCATTGTCGTGGCCTACTTAGTTTCGAAAAAAACTATTTTTTACAAAATGGGTATCAACATTAAGATTCTTCTGTTATAAAAAAATTTGAAAATACCTACTGACTTATTTTTTAATGTAATTTATAATACAGGGTGTGTCAATACTATACTTACTTATGTTTATGAGTTTTTATTCGTATCTCTAGTTCAACAAAAGCTATTAACATGCGGTTTGCTCCATTTTGTTACGAATTTAATCCAGTTCCATTATAATTTACAATAAATAGGTGTTTCCATTAAAAAATTTAAAAAAAAACTAATTTTAATTTTTTTTATTTCAAAGTCCCCTCTACCTACGACTATGAAAACTAAATGCAAGTATTTTATAGTAGATCTGAATTAATTCATCCACACTCTTTCTAATGACACTAATTTCATTAAAATCGGTTGATCCAAACCAAAGTTATAGGTATTTATCCACAAATACTTTCCCACTCTCCCCCACCCTTTATTTGAAAAAATAAAAAAAAAGTACTTGAACAACTTTGTGCAGAATTTATGCCCCTTTTTAGTTTACTTATTTAACACTTGGTATAATTGGACATATTTCCCAAAAACTGGTTTTCAAAATTTTCTTCGCAGGTTACGCCCCTAGCGGTTAATCCAGAATCTTGAAAGTTATTTCCAGCGATTTCTCTTGGCCACTTTTACTAAGGAATTTTTTCTCCTAAAGTTATAACATGAATAGTTTCTGGTATATAACCGAGAGATCGGCTTATTGGACCACCCGGTACAATTGAAAAACAAACTTTTACCTTGTAAATTATTTTTGTAGGAGCAATATCTCTCGAGTTATATGCGAAAATAACAGGACAAGAAGCAAAAACTTTCGATTTTTTTTTATTTTGTAAAATAAAAAATTAAACACACAATACGATATGTGCGACTTGCAATTACTGTAATTATTGATAAAAGGTACATCCCAAAGTGATTATACCAAAAAAATAGACTCCTTTAGAGTCTATGATGATTTAGAGAGAAAACTGTCCCGGGATATTTTTTCTATTGTATTCAAACGACAATTTTTTTTAATATGTCGATGGATTTTGTGTCAATAAATGTCGTTAAAACTATAAAAACGCAGAAAAGAAAATCATACGTTATCTCATAAAAGAAATCTAAAATGAAATTCAGGAGTAAGACAAACTTGAAATTTAAATTAAAACAAACTTTTATAAAAAACAATGAATATTCAAATAGAGGAAGAGTAATAAAATCAAGTTTTTACACATTTAAAGTACGTATTTAGTGACCATAATTTAACAAGTGTCTTCTATATAAGTAATACTGACCTTCGTACACCTTATGATACCGCTAAAACACTTATATCCACCACAAATATTGCAATAACAAAGTACAAGTCTAAAACGAACTAATCACTAATATTATCAATTAAATTTATATCATTATTGGTCAAAATATACCATCTACCGCGTCTGTTATTCACTAAACTAAATATCCTTCATTTTTAGTGACCTTACATAATGTAAACAACTAACTACTACAAAATAAAATAGCTGTAGATAACCGTGCGATGATAAAACATTGTAATAATTATTTTATTCACTGACACTGATCATCGTTGAATTATTTATTGCGCAGATGTACGAAACAGTCTCAGCTGTTACACCTGTTTGGTTACCTGTAGTCTCGACTCCGTACCGTTATCTACATTTGATCATTTGACGTGTTTCATTCAGACATCTTTCTATTGAAAAAAATAGTTGAGTCTGCCTCTTTTGAAGTAAAAGATGGTATGGTTTTCATTTATATTGTTTATTTTATTATTAACCAAATCGTTCTTTCTAGGCACACTATTTTAAAGAAAAGGATATTGACGGTAAGTTCATACAAACATTTTAACTCTGTATATATATCAACAATAAAATCGACTCTTTGGTATTATAGGCATAATATACTTATACATAAGTCTGTATGGATCAGAAACTTTTAAATTTGAATGAGGTACTTTTAGTCTAATTGCAAATTTTTTATTAAAAACAATTTTGTTGTTCTTCACCTCTTCAGATATAGTCGCCATTGTATTAAATCAAATAAACCCGTTTAATTTACAAAGGTGACAACATAGTTGCAATGTTTTATGTTCATAAAATGCAGGAAGACTAAGTGCAAAGGACTATTTTCGTCAATGACCTAATTATCTATAATTGAACGATTTGTCATGATAAAATTATCAGTAACAGATACTTACTTTATAGATTTCCGAATTTTCTCCTTTATGATGTAAACTAGATAATTTGTTTTTAAAAATATTCTTTACAGTTGGTTGAAGATGAGTTACTTCGTTTCCAGTCTCGTGTACACGGTATTTAATTAATGTTTATATTATATAACTGTAAAATGTTTATATCACAGCGACAAATTTAGTTTTCCGAGATACAGATAAGGATAGTGTTGCACTAATATATTTGCACACCGATAATAGACCAGGGAAATAAACAAAAAATTACCTTGTTTGAGCAGATAAACTTTCGTCCAAGTCAAATATTTTTGCATATATACTTTCGTCCAGGGGTCGAGCTCAGCGGGGATCAATCCCATAATTCAAAAAAAAAGTTGTCTCACTGCGTTATAAAATTTATTATCTTAGATCAGTGTATTTCATTTACAACTTACAATATAAATAATAATAAACTTACTTAAAAACTAAAATAATGGGATGTATATTTAACATATTCCAGCCTATAGTTTATTTTTATGAACGAGAGAGTAATTAGCATAATTTTAACTGGTACCTCCGACCACTCCATGGGCGTGCTCAAGATTAATTGAAAAATTACTTTGAATAATTGTAAAAAATAAATGAATTATTTCAGTGTTATAAAGTGTTATGTGTATGTAAACAAAAGTGACCTCTTTTATCACACACTATATTAGAACTGACTGGCCTACATTAAAAAGGGTTTTAAAAAATTCACATTTTTTTTAATTTTTAAAAATTACAAAAGAGAAAAAGAGTTTTTAAAACCGTCTAAGGTATGTAAAATAGATGAATAAAAATATTAATATAAAACTTACAGCTACTTGTTACAAATCCAAATCAGATTCAGAAGATGAACTTTCAGAACCAAGATTTATAATAACTGGCTCGATCATTTTATCAGTAATATTGTCCAGCTTCCACATTTTTTCCTCTTCTTTAATAGTGTGATTTACTGCCTTTTCCCAGTTGTCAGGTTTTACATTATTTACGGCCTCCAAAACAACTGTTTAACATCATGAATTTTAAAAGTGGTATTTTTTCTTGAAACTTCACTCTTTATCTGTGCCCATACCAGTTCAATCGGGTTTAATTCACAATGATATGGTGGGGATCTAAGTACTGTCATTCCACGATGTTTGGCAATTTCATCAATTTCGTATTTTTTAAATTTTTCTTTATGAAGGGCACACAACGAATAAAGTTCCTTTCTTATAGATCCGGGATGGTACGTAATATTTTTTGAACTCAGCCAATTCTGCAAGTCTTGTTTTAACCACTTGGTTGTGGGCAGTCCTTCTATAAGTCTGGAGTGATAACTTGCATTATCCATTACTATTACACAGTTCTTAGGAAGAAGATCTATCATTTGTTCGAACCATTCTTGAAAGACATCAGCGTTCATGTCTTCATGGTAGTCACCGGTACGAGTTGATTCAAAAGTTAATAAACCACCTTCAACAAAACCGTCTGAACTGCCAATGTGTACTATTATCAGCCTGTGTCCCTTTCCTGATGGTGGGTTTAAACCAGTAGATAAGTTATTTACAAAAGCGTGCCTTTGACTTGTAACAGTTTCATCCTGCCAAAATTTATTTGGTGTATGACCCTCGTTGATCCATGTTTCATCAAGATAAAATATTTTTCTTTTTTGGTTTCTCATTTCCTTTATGGTTCTTAGAAAATGTCTTCTCCATATGACAATATCGCTTCTTTCTAATAAAATAGACTTTCTGGGATTCTTTTTCCAGCGGAAGCCTATTTCTTTTAAAAGTTTCCATAACGTGCTTCGACTCATTTCTGGGTAATCCTTATCATCTCGAACTGAGACAAGAACTTTATCCAATGTTGGAAATTCTTGTCTAAAGAAGAATTCATGCACTTTCCGTCGAAGTCCTTCTTTAAAATGATATTCTATTTGAAATTTTGGTTTCCCTGGAGCATTACGTGGCATTTGAAAACTACCACATTTCTCTTCTTTAATAACTCTGTAAATCGTAAATTTCCCAACACCAAGTGTACTGCTAACTAACTCAACGGTCTCATCAACACTTTCACATAAACGTTTGTCTGTAAATGATTTAAAACAATTATTAAATATTAATGTTTTTTCATTAACTGTTAAAGGACCAATTTTTCGGCGTTTACACGGCACTTCCAAATTTTCCATAACACTAGTATACACAATAAACTGCACCTTGCAACTGAAGTACCTACTTTTAGTGAATTGTTAAGAATTTTGAATACGCCACTTGGACCTTCCTACAAAATGGAAAAACCCACTATCACATTTTCTGTGGAATAAGTTTAGAAGGTAATTATCTAGTCAATTACTGTCGTAGATTCCTGGAATTAAAGAATTAAATGTTTGATTGTTGAAACCCTTACTTCGTGGAATGCACTCATTTCAGATAAAATAAAACGTTTTATTTTATCTAAAGAATTAAACTTTATTTTGCAAATAGGTAGGTACTTATTAAACTTTTATTGGTTATATATAACCAATAAAATAAACATCTTACATTTCTTGCAAATTTATTAGTACCTGTTAACCTCCATCACTTCGACACTGGCAACCTTATTTAGGGATTAGTAACCCTCACAACTATTGTATTCTATTCTGCTCCAACCTTTATACCTGGTGGTCATACTCAATTTCAAATTGTTTTCCTATACACTTCTGTAAACTTGTTGACAAATATCTGTTTTTCATTAAGTCACCCGTATCAACAGTTTAGGGATTTGCATACATAATTTATTGTTTTATTACTCTCTCATACATAAAAATACACTATAGTAATAGTTTTTTCATTAAAATTTTCTATTTTACTTTTCAAAAATTTCTCACGAGCTACAGTTTTGTTATTAGGTCTGTTACATTTATGAATACTTTGAATTCTAATGTAGATCTCATTTTGATATTGATTGATAGCCTCTAAAAACACGAATATATTCCGATGGTATGTATTAAAGGATTTATGTAAATGTGAATGGAAATATTCACATGCATTGGTTATTCTCGTAGTTTCTGATGATTTTGCAGCCCAGAGTATCGGTAGAAAGGTTGAGTTTTCATCAACATATGTCTTAAGTAAATAATCAACAAAAGCATTTAGTTCGACACTCTCGGGCATAATTTCTATCAGAACAAAAACTAAACAATCACCGACTTCTTCGTGATCTAGAAAAAGAAGACCAAAGCAATGACCAATTCATCCACTTCAGTTCTGTTTTTGTAACCATTTGTTAAGCCAAGTTCTTGCATTTTACGCCACCAAGATTGCGAAGGATGGAATCTACATCAACGACAATCCAAATCAACGACAATATCTTTTGGAAGAAAATTTAAAGTTAGCTCTGAACATTTGGTCCTTATCAAATTAAAGCATGTTTCATATGTAGATGATAATTTATCTGGCAATAAATAAAATACTAGTGGAACGTAGTGGCCATTTTAGTAACCATAAATTATAAATATTTGATAATAGAATTTTGGGCAATATTTAAATGTACCATCCATGTATATTCTAGAACACTTACATAAATGTCTGAGATTTATCTCAAAAGATATAATAGTCAATTTTGCAATTTATCATTTACCAATAAAAAATTTTCATTTCTAGACGTGATGATAGAGTCTTCTAATTTTTCCAATGATTACAGTACTTCTTCTAACGTTTTTGGTAAAACTGGGAGTAATTTTCTTCTTACATTATAAATACTTCGTTTCACTGATTTCAAATTCAGAATACATAGTTAAATTGGTGTTTTCTTCTTCACTAAAAACGCGATGTAAAATTTTCCTGGGTTAAGTAATATCTTCTGCAGCTTTACGCTTAGCTGCTACTCTTACAAACTGTTGTTAAATGCAGTTGGACTCCAGACTTTCATGATAATGATTTTTGTCTAGAAAATACTACATCATCCTCAATTGTGTAGACGGCGGAGTTACAACCTTTAGTACGACATCTCCAGCGTGATTCCCCACTTTTTAACTTTTCGGCAAAATTGAATTTATAGTTATTTACGAATAAAAGAAGAACGTTGCACTTTTTTCACCACCATACGTTTGTCGAAATTCTCCATAACGTTTCAAGAATAAATAATTTTCATAACACAATTCAAGACTATAGCAATATAAACATTTTGAAAATATTTTCACAAATGAATAAACTCGAAGATTCGTACATATTTATAGATTTATTATTAATTGCTTCTTCGAAAAGCATTGTTTGTAGTACCTCTTCTACCTTGGCATAAACAGAATTACAGATAATTTTGTCAATAAATGAAATGAGGTTGAATGCTCGAATAAATGAACTTTGAAAATAAGGCTATTATCGAGCACAAGTTAATTAAATCTAGCCCAAGTACTTTCGCTTAAAATAGCATCTTCAGGGCATTTCGTCAATAAGAACTATCCGCTTGCCGGATAGTTCTTATTTTGACGAAATGCCCCTGAAGATGCTATTTTAAGCGAAAGTACTTGGGCTAGATTTAATTAACTTGTGCTCGATAATAGCCTTATTTTCAAAGTTAATTTTGTCAATGGCTGGTTCACTAATTACATAATCCCTTTTCGTAAATATGTTACCGAAAACCAAATACTAAAATTTTCA